TTTTTTTCTGCACGAGGCAACATCGATCGAAAAAATCTCTCACAATTTTATAACACAAACACAACATTATTATTAGAACTTTACGAAATCATTTTTTGAATGAATAATTTCTTTTGGCATAGGTTAATGTAACTAATGCCATTAGTAATAAAAATAACTTAAGTATACCAGGTTATTAATAGTAGCCAAAATATTAGAATTATTTAACGAATGTCAGATTCATTTCGTTTTAAATATTCATATATATATATATATATATAATTCTAACTATTTAAAAATGGCCATGAAAGTTTTTCGGTTGACTGCATAGAAAACAAAAAATAATAATAATCGTTGTTGCCTTCGCGTTTCTAGTTTTCTCTTTTGTTTTTTCTTTTTTTTTATGTTAAGCACCACGACTCCTCCTCTATAGCAATTATTTGTCGTTTGGAAAAATTTTCATGAAAATCCACAAGTTCCTTGGATTAATTTCTCATTTATACAGGGATAAACGTGCCTTGGTATGTCCAAGACGGTATTGGTCAGGATCAAGTGCAGTACTTTCCAAAATTGCAGCAGCGGCCTTCTTTGGATCTCCAGCGACTTTATCAACAGCTGCAGGTGCCAGAATCTTGTACCTAAAGGGTTTGTGTTCGGGGTTCACCAAGTATCGGTGTGGGGGCGGCGGGGGGACAAAGAACAAACAGGTGTATGGAACAATTAATACAAGGGTATAACACAACTTTTTTTCTAAACAAACAAAAAATAGTAACAAATCCTGTTTAGTTTTTCTTATCCGCATCTGTGATCTGGTCTGATGTGATCTGATTCCTTTTTCCCCATTTAAATGGTGGCCCTAATTTGTCCCATCATCGAAAAACACGATGATGATAATAATAAAAGGGTCACACTAGAATATCAAAAACCTATGGATCTATATCAACTGGGGGTGGCAAAGGGTGGCCAAACTTACTAAATAATCTACAAGTAATTGTCTTATGGTGTATGTATGTGTGTTGGTATTTTTTGTTTCTTTATTTCTTTTTGTTTGCTTTCGTAATTACTATCAAACGGGGTCAAAACTATGAAACATCTACGATCATTCAAATATTGGATTTGAAACAAAATTATTCTCAACGAATAAATGAATGGGCGGAGGGGGGGGGGGTTGATAAAACATAAACATACATTTGTTGTCACACAATAATTACAAATCTACTTTTTGGTTTTTATAAAACTGGTTGGAGGGTGGGGGGGGGGCTTACGGAGTATTCATCAAACGAATTTCTTTTGCAATTCAAACTACTACGATGGGTGGGGGGGGGACAGGGGTTGGGGGAGCCCTTTCAATCGATCGTTTTCGAAGTTTTGGTTTTTCTTGTGTTTTTTTTTTTGGGCTACACGAAAATTATTATTCCAAGTTTAAAAAATTGAACGACAATTGTATCGTTTACATCCCGTTTTGTTTTGTTTTTTTTTTTGTTTTTTTATTAAACGTAGGATGAGAAAAAAAAAAAAAAAGAAACAATTAATCTAATCGTTTATTACAATCCGATCGGGAATTGTTAATTTTAATATGGATCGTTTGATTTCTCTCTGTCTCAAGAAAATAATAATAATAAATAAATAAATAATTTATAAATATTAGAAATTTAATTAATTTATAATTTAGAAAAATGATCTACTCGATTATCTTGAAATATAGAATTTTTATCAATAGAATCCAAGAAAAACATTTTGGAATAATATATTTATGTGCAATCTGTGTGTGTGTGTAATTATTTCAGGGTAAATGGGCTCTGGGGTAGGTGGGGGGGCCTAAAGGGGGCCAAAAAGGGTCAATTTGTTTTTTACTTTGTTTTGTTTTATTCAACTAGCCTTTGTATGACCAATCCTATAGCTTTCTGGATCTAGACCAACTTCTTCAAGACATTTAGCAGCTGCAACCTTTGGTTCCTTTTGGGCTGCCATAGTAGCCGGTGCTAAGATCATGTAACTGTTCGACCACAGGATTAAACATTTTTTTTTTTTTATTCGTGTAATTACTTTCCCGTCAACGCGAATAATTGTTTTATTATTTATATAAGAAAAAGAATTAAAAAAAAAAAAACAAACAAACAACAAACCAGCCAATTATCCCTAAAACTTTTAAATGGTACATTGAAATGCTAAAACATTTCTTTAGGGGGTCAAGGGGGGGGGGAGAATCTGTGATCCCCACGGCCGGGGGCCTGAGAATCGTAATTAAAATCCTACACGTTCGTACATTTTTTTTATATTATATTATATAATAATATGATGTTTAAAAAAAAAAAGATACCAAGTTGAATTATTTCAAATTAGGAAAACGAATTGGTGTTATTTATCTTGCACTCCCCAACCCTCCCACTCCTTTCTTCTTATCATTGGTATCTTTTTTTTTTTGTGGGGTTTGAAAATTTGCTATTGGGATAGAAAAAAAAGAAAAAATAAAGAAAAAGAAGTTAAGAAAATGGAATTCTTACCGCAATTTGAAATCAGGATAGACCATTCTGTTGGGGAATCCTTTACGACAGATACGAATGCCTTCAAGTACACCGTTACAAGTCAATTGATGCATGACCAAGTGTGAATCGATGACACCCGGTTGTTTCAATTCGTTAGGAATGATACAACGGACGAAATGGGGTTGCGTTGCTTTCAAGGTGGTCATCAGGTTGTTCAATTGTTCCTTGTAGGACGAGGATACGGTTGAGAAACCACCACCCTTCTTACCGCGTCCACCTTTGCCACCACCACCGCCACCGGCATCACCGGATTGTCCTGGATGATCGGCAAAGATTTCAACCAGCAATTTGTTTGCTGATTTTTTGAATTGATCTACCACAGTGTCGTTCAAGGGATCCTTGTTCTTTTCTAACCAACCGGTGATATTGTAAGGTACCTAAAACATACACGTATATACGTGTATTCGTTTATATATATATATGTATATGTGCTATCTCGTGAAAGATCGAAATTTGATAATGTCGAGATTCACCAGGGTGAATGTCAACATATACCAACATACCTCGGGTGAAAGACCGAATATATTTTCGGGTTTCATTTATTTATAATATTATAATAAAAATATATATGTG